CAGCAGAATGACACACTGCCTGGTCCTGCATAATCTTCACAAACATTGTTATGCTTGAGCCCTTACTGCATTGCAGAGAATCCTGTAATAATACAGTTCTACCAGATGCAGTACAGATTTTTCTTTCACATGCTGTTTCTATTTACTGATTAATTGTGGTTGCTTTTCATGCCATCTTGAGAAGGAATCCAAGGATGGGACTTCTCTACTGGTTGGTTAGTGATGGACTTGGCAACTTCTATCATGTACCAGTTAACTTCTCTGTGCTTTTCCATTGTGTACTGTTTACCTCCCGTCATTTATTAATTTCTCTGCAGGTTTGTCATAAGTTTGAAGATCTCTTCACCTCAGCAAATCTTGAGATAATCCAAAATTACCTAAGTGCCCATTTGGAAGGCACCAAATTTACAGCCTTACTTTTAAAAAGCTTTTTGAACCCTAGTGACCTTTATTCTCCAAAGTCACCTGACCACAGGGAGCTCTGGTGGCCTACTTGTAAGAAGCTGTGCTGCAATCTCAAAAGCATGTGGTTCGAATCCACCAGGATAGAGTCTCCTCCGATTCGATTTACAGCTTCTGAAAACCTGCTGGAGGGTCAGCTATGAGTTCATTTCTGACTCGATGACATATAATAATAACAGCAACATGACCACAGTTGAGACCTTGTCAAGTTCTAAAATTTCACATTCTCCCAATAATTTCATTTTTCTCTTTGCTACTGTTATTCTTAGCCCTTTTTGATGTATACCTTGAGGTCTCCATGTTTCACCCTTTCCCTGGCATAATTTCCTACTTAATATGGAGCTGATGTTTTCACACTAGCATATTCTTGTCCTTCTTACACTTTTACGTTGAATTACACCATCTCCAACAGTGTTACACTACAGATTCTGGGTGATCTGTTTCTCTGTCAGACCTTTATTTCTGTCTGCTCATCCTTCAATGCTTTTATCCCTTTTGTCTGGCCAGCAACTTCACGTCCACACTAGTTTTCTCAAACACTGTTCCTCTCAACACTATGCTTTCCTTCTCTGTAGTGTATCTTTTTTTTTTTTATTTTTGTAGTGACTGGAAGAGATCTATATTTGTTCCCATCCCAAAGAAGGGTGACCCAACTGAGTGTGGAAACTACAGAACAATATCATTGATTTCACAT